TTATTATTATTATTATTATTTGACATTTTCGAAGTGCAAAATGAATTTTGAATTATTATAGTATATATTAGAATATTATAATATTTACTAGTTATATATATATATTGTACAATTTGTATATAAATGATTAAACGCTATATTATTCCTAAGTAGTTTGGGTAGAATGTATCTCATGTAGATTTTAGAATCAAATGAAAAACAAAACGAGAAAAGTGGGCTGAACAGCCAAGCATGAAAATATATGTAGGAGACTTGTCAAAGCACGGGAGTAATGGGTCGATTAATCAGTTATCCTAGAATACTTTCATTCGAAAGAGTAAGCATTAGCAATATCACATTTGTTGGTACATAAAGTAGGCACAAAGTAAGTTCAAGATCGAAAAGTAGCCTCCCACAACCGAAGAAGAGACGAGTGATCATGATTATGTCAATGGTAGCTCAAAAGTCCCCCTCCAAAAAAAAGGCTACAAATATATCAACTCTTTAGCTTCCATTCTGAAGATTTCTCCAAGAGTATGTATAGGTATGGTAGAGTTATTTACGCAGAAAACAAAACTAAAGGCATATATATGGAGGGAGGGAGTACAGTGTCGATCATCCCCTCCACTATGAAGTCTCATGGCCGAAAAGCAGGCATTCTAGTTCAAGTCGAATGGATCTATCCGGGGATCATGCTCACTTGCCATCATCATCCCTGTGCAGAGGCATGTCGGACACATTACCTAAGAAGCACAACGCGAATCAATTAGCAACATTGCGAGGAGGGAGGGAGGGAGAACCAGAGCTTCATTGTCATTCAAGAATTTAGTGGCAAGTAATGCAATGGTCTCACCTAGATGATTGAAGAGCTTAAAACTTTTAAATGAAATGGTTCACATGTTGAAGGCTACTTTTAAATGAACAAGTTTGTTTAAGCTTTTAAATGAAATGGTCGGCAAAGCGCATCACAGGAGAATGGAGCTGTCAAATACAAACTACAGATACAAATGAATCTACAATGATCCTTCTTACTTTAAATTTTCTAGAAAGTCACTATGTTCACTGGAAAATAATATAACTGTGTCAATCATGCAACGAAAAACATAGGTGGATTAGCTCTCGAAACTTATATATCAGTCCCCTAATTATTTTTCGTATGTAGCTCCAGAAGTTAATAAACATACACGGGTTAATTACCCCAATAGTCACTGAACTTTACCGAAAGTTTTCACCAGGTCACTGAACTTTAAAAACTACGTGGTTAGTCACTGAACTTTCGAAAATGCAACATCATCCATCACTTAACTTTAAAAATCACCCCATTAATCACTGAACTTTGCAAAAGATTTCTACGGGATCACTGAACTTTGCAAAAAGTTTCCCAGGTGATCACTGGGTTCAGTGACCATCTGGGAAACTTTTGCAAAGTTCAGTGACTAATTGGGTGATTTTTAAAGTTCAGTGATGGATATGATTGCATTTTCGAAAGTTCAGTGATTAATCACGTAGTTTTTAAAGTTCAGTGACCTGGTGGAAACTTTCGATAAAGTTCAGCGACTATTGGAGTAATTAACCCAACATACACGGATATTTGCTTAAGCATTTCCTGGTCCCCTCTGGCTCTTTTATTGCTTTCTCAAGGAAGAGCACACTAGCTGACCATATCGGTGGGAGGGGATTCTTTTTCCACTAAAAATTGGATATCTAAAAGAAGTATATATAGAAAATGGTTCCGCCTTTCTCCCCAACATAACATGAACAAAAATTTAAAAAGAAGATAATTCTAGAAGTTCTGCAACAAAATTACATACCTTTCCTGAACCCGAGCAATTCGCACACTTTAGAGTAGTTGGTGCACGCAATGGACTACTAGAAGGATTGGTCACAGAAATAGGTTCAATGGACAGGCACATACCACTTGCAGAACAGTTGGCACATGACAAGTATCCTGCATGACCACATGAAAAGATTTAAAGAAATTAGTCGAGAAAAATTCATGTCTAGTGGAAGTATAAGATAGAAATTAAAAGAAAATGACGTTATATGGGTTAGAACATTGCTATACTATAATTCATGATATAAATCTGATTGGCTTGCTGAGTTTGGAGTTGTGGTTATAAATAATGTGAGTAACAAGTGAATCTTCAATAGTGTAAACTGTAAAATATACTTGCTATAACATTCTTAAATCACAAATGGACCAAACTGGATGAAAACTAAGATATAATAGTTTGGTATGGTGCTGGAATACCTTGAAAATATAATTTATTTCTAATGATAGAAAATCTTCGGCACAATCCTCTTGAAACCATTTAATTATTATTTTATGCCAGATTACTCTTAGCCATTACATATTACAAGAGCAAGAAAAGATGGCTGTTAATTTTAGGATAGGCAACCAAATGTCATCTGACAGATTGTAAAAGCTCATAAAATTACAACTTAAATGAATACCAGTTCCATGGCAATACTTGCACCTCCTCTTCTCTTGCTGCTCAACATTGTTAACTTCTAATAGCATCAGTGCAGAAATAACCCCAACTGCCCCACCAGAAAACGAAGCCACAATAGGATCTACCTGACTGAAATAAGAATTAAAGAGTTTGTTTCAGAAAATCTCTAATTTGTACTGTTAATGGTGACTAATACTACACAATAAAGAATTTTTTTTACACAGAACAGCTAAAAATTATTTCATAAAGTAAATTGTCAAACATTCTAATGGAAACATTTATAACATTATTAATTTCAATTTTCAAAATTTACCTTAGTTGCATTGGCAAGTGCATGTTGCGTATAAAATCTTCATATGAGGTACCTCCTAAACCCAATTTCAGCTCAAGCTGTCATGTTAAAAAGTTTCAGAGGTTTTAACTTTTCCATGTGAACCTTACGAGCCTAGCCATAAGTTGAACTTCACAGGAAGAAAATATTCTAAGTTGCTTAAATTGCCAACATTGGCTATCAGCGAGCAAGATGATGTCTCAAGTTTAGGAGCTTACAATAGGTGCAACGAGGCCACCAAAAACGATAATTCCAGATATAAATGAAAAGCTTGTAAGATAAAGCTGCTGCAATGTCTTCGGCGTCTATTTCAAAACGAATACATAATATAAGAAAACAAAAATTAGGTTTTCCCAAAACGAATACTGAATAAAAATTACAATAGTTTTGTAACAGAACACAGACAAATGCTCATAAATAGAAAGATTCTACGATCTTCTTATATATCACCCGTTCACATCATCAACAAATGTCAGCATTTAAAACACATTTCAGAAACTGGGAAAGGAATTTGAAAAACATATTGACATGTAGATACTGTTGCAATTTCTTAAGCATCCACTCGTGAATAACTTATTCTCTAACAGATAATTAAGATAATGAACATTCCTAAACAGTTAATGTAATCATACTAGTTTGTGCATTTACACACTTCTAAGATTGGTGAAGGGTTCTAATTACCACATGAGGAAGAAAGGGAATTGATGATGGGATATTTGGCAACTCATTTTCCTCTTCATGGGTCTCATCAACGGCTTTCATGTTCTTGATCCGTTGTTGTACTCTTAGCCTCCTCACCTGGATTGGAAACAAAGAACAAAACTAAGTCATTCTAATTTCTAAAAGCTGTTTTAGTCTTGCAACCTCAGTTTTACCATATGGACACTGTAATAGATACCATTAGACTAACCTCTTCCATCAGGAGAAAAATTTTACTGCGCCTGCTCCTAATGTTATCATGGATTTCCTGCAGCTCCATCTGAACAAAATCCTGAACAGTCTCTGGTCCTTCTATAATGCAGAAATTGCTGCAAACACACGATTTTCATATAATGCGATAAGATAACAAAACTATCAATTTTCCAAAAGTAAGTGCTATATGTTAAAAGACTGTCGAAATGCAGCATCCACAAGAGCCCACAAGTTAACTACTTACACCTCCACCAAACGAAAGGTAAAATCAATTTTATCACAATATAAGTAACATGTTCCGTCACAAGTAAATTTCTCATCCACCAGAAATTATTGAAAAGCATAGACTGTTCAATTGTAATTTTAATGTGCAGGTGGATGGATGGGCGAAATTATCTGCAATTACCCAACTACCGGTTGTATAGAGGTAGCAAATAACTGCAATATCTCCATATAATTGCAGTTGATAAATTATTTAGAAAATAAACTACTGAAAAAGGAAAAGGGGGAAACTGGAGAGCCGAACTTTGGGATGTTGCCGTCTCCAGGAGGATCATTGGAAGCAACGGAATCCTTTGGAGAAGATAAACAGAGTGTCAGCTTAATTTTGGAATTGGAAGTTTTGTTTAAGAAGCATAAGCGTTTTGGGTTTGTGTTAGACTGGGAGCAAAACAGAGAATTGGATGAAGATTGGAGCTTTGAAGCGTGAAGTGATTGAAGGTTAGAGCAAAGAGAGAAAGAACCCATCAGTCCTCTATCCTGATCCTGATTTCTTATCCAACTTTGTTGTTTTGGAGTGTGGGAATAAAAGTAAAATGGAGTTGGATATGCCGTTTTCCCTGTGAAAGTTCGTGTGCGAAAGAGAGAACAGTTTGGGAAAGGCACATCCAACGAGGAATTAGCCGGCCATCAACCGACAATGGTCTTTGACCATGTCAAAATAAAAACGTTAAAAAGGGTCCCTACAAAATTTAATTACTATACAACATTGTAATCACATCACAATTAAAATATTTTTTCCATAATAAATTTAAAATTATACTCCTAATATAATAAAAATAAAAAATAAAATACAATATTGTAGTGTACTCATCCTCCCTATTTTACTCATCATTTTTATCAATCATTTATGTCCTACAAATCAATGAATACAAAGCAAACGTTCCACCTGCAGCAATTAAGCAAATACAAATCAAACTCATTAATTAAACAGAACATAAAGAGTTCAGCCATGATGAATGTAAACGAACATCGCAAAGATTGGATACCTTCACCATTGTCATTGGCCCAGAAAATAATAAGGGCATACTTGATCAGTGGAAACAGAATTAAAGTGTACAAAACTATTGACAATGCACCAAAAATATCTTCATTCCCAGACTAGTGTCTTGGTGAACATCACATTGAAGGTGTATAGTGGTCTAGTTCCCTAAATTCAGTTTCCTTGAGCAAGATATTTAATCAACTTTTATATGTACCGACTGAATACACAGTACTTATAACACATGTAAAAGGAATTCTCTACTTAAGTCGTATTGCCGTCGATAGAAAAGTTAGGTTTATGTTTGTGGTAGAACAATAATTTAATTTAATTCTGTTGATTTTATTCTGGTTATGACCTTAATAGGAAGGTTCAAAATCTTTACCCTTATATTGACTCCACCCTTTAGTTCTACCATTGAATATTTGGTTCCCTAATTTCAAAAGCAATAACAAACAAAGGAAAATCAGAAAGACGCAAAGCACATTGATTTGTAGTGATTCACTCTCAGTAGTTAGAACCTAATGTCGCAGGATTTTCATTACAAGAAACAAGTAATAATCAAATTGAATAAGTTTCTAGCCATGCAAGAAGTTTATCAAAATCCTCTTTTGACCTCTTATGCGATACTCGCGCTAATCATGGAGACTTTACATTAAAAATCTCATGTATAGCGATATCAGTATCAATCGTCTCTTTGAATGTTTCTATTCTTTCTTTATACGTACTCTCCCATCCACATGCAATGTCATCTCTATATTTGTACCAATTATATGCCACAGGTGGAATTGGGCAATTGGGCTTCAAGTTGACCTATGCAAGTAATACATCAAATTAGTAGCAATAAGTTTACACCAATGATATATAGTTAAATAATTAAAATAAAATATCTGAACAAAGTGATTGTCATTCACAAAATCCAATGATATAATCTTATGATTTACTGGTAGAGGAGGTTGAGAGTACAGTGGTAAGAATGTCAAACTTTTTACGGGTAATTAGCAGAAATGGTCGCTATCGTTTACATTCATTGCTAAAATAGTCTCTATCGTTTTAAATTTGATATTTATACCCTTATTTCAAACCTTTGTTGCAGAATTAGTCTTTTCCGTCCACTTCCGTTAAATCCTCCGTTAAATGAGGCAAAATGGTTTAAAATTTTCTTATTTTTGTCTTAATTTTGTGGGATTATTACGAGATGTAAAACGAAATCGAAATATTTCATTCTTAATACCATTTCGAAGTGCTCACGATCTAGTTTCCTCCATCCCTAACGACGTGCGAAACGGCTAAACGTAGCGAAAGTTACCACTCGTTAAAGTAGGCCGTCCCAAAATATATATATGATATTTCTTATTTCTGTCTCAATTTTGCGGGATTATTACAAGATATCAAACGAAGTCTTCTTATTACCATTTCGAAGTGTTCACGACCTAGTTTCCACCATCCCTAACGGCGTGCGAAACGACCAACCGTAGTGAAAGTCACCACTCGTCGAAGTAAGTCATTCCAAAAAAAAAACATTTTTGTCTCAATTTTGGAATGGCTTATTTCGACGTGTGGTAACTTTCGCTATGGTTGGCCATTTCGTACGCCGTTAGGGAGGGGAAATTAGGTCGTGAACACTTCGAAATTGTAATAAGAATGCAATATTTCGACTTTGTTTGATATCTCGTAATAATCTCGCAAAATTGAGACAAAATAAGAAAAATCATTTATATATTTTGGAACGGCCTACTTCGACAAGTGGTAACTTTTCCTACGGTTGGCTGTTTTGCACACTGTTAGGAATGGAAGAAACTAGGTCGTGAGCACTTAGAAATGGTATTAAGAATGCAGTATTTCGATTTTGTTTGACATCCTGTAATAATCTCGCAAAATTGAGACAAAAATAAGAAAAATCGTTTATATAGTTTGGAAAGGCCTATTTCAACGAATGATAACTTTCGCTAGGATTGGCCTTTTCGCACACTGTTAGGAATGGAGGAAACTAGGTCGTCAGCACTTCGAAATGGTATTAAGAATGTAATAATTCAATTTCATTTGACATCCCGTAATAATCCCGCACAATTGAGACAAAAATAAGAAAAATCCAAAACCATTTTGCCTCATTTAACGGGGGATTTAACGGAAGTGGATAGAAAGGACTAATTCCGCAACAAAGGTTTGAAATAAGGGGATAAATATCAAAATTAAAACGATAGGGACTATTTTAGCAATGAATGTAAACGATAGGGACCATTTCTGCTAATTACCCTTCATTGAACTACCAATACCTCGGAGGTCCCTTTTTCTCGATTTAACCCATCTTTATTTTTTCTCTTTTTATATTTTTTTATTTTCCAATATGAAGAGTTCATGTTTGAAATTTTAAATTATTTAGACTCGTGTGCAGAATTACACAATTAAAAGAAACAATTTACTTTTTAATTGTTTTTAGATGATTAGATCAAACAAGTTAATTTATCCAAAGTTTGAATACCACAATCAATAATTAAAGCAGTAAAGAACACTAAAGGTGATCATGGAGAAACTCCAACTGGATAAAAATTCGGGCACTTTACTAGTCATTAATCCACTATAAATTGAAGTAAACTTACAGTATAGTCGAGACCCGTCTATCTCGTAGAACTTCTGACCTCAATTCCTCCAGTTTCCCTTGATCCTACTGGAGAGGTGCTCATTTAAAACAAATCTCNCGAGTGAAGCAATCTTTTCATGTTCTTCTCTATTTTTGTCAATTGAGTCCAACCTGCAGAATAATCACTATTCTGCCGGCGTCAGACAAGTACTACACTATTCAAAGATGCTATCAAATAGCCCATGTCAAGCATCGTCATCCATCGATCAAATGGGGCACCAATATTAAAGTAATCCATAATATATAACAACTTATTCACCCTTTCAATGCTTCCATATAGTTTTACATAAACATCATAATTAGATTTCATTTCTGTAATAAGGTCACGTCGAATATGTAACCAAGCCTCTTCTCCTAATCCGAGGGAACTAGCCACCGCCCTAAAACCACAATGACCATCGGACTTAACATCAACAATGTTAAATATGCAATCTTTGACTTTGTCATGGAAACATGTTGTGTAATGGTATAAAGTGTTCTTACGAGTGTGTCTAACTTTAAGTTTATCATTCTTTGGAACATTAGCAGAGTTGTCGTTGCTACGAAAATGGCTATTATTTCCTGAGTCAACAATTTCAAAATATGAATGACCTCTTTTAGTTGAAGTATCGATTTTTTATGAAGGTCGGCCTTTGGTTTTAACTTTCTCAGCAGGCAGCACCAAAGAAGTAGTGGAGGGTTCATACATTTCTCATAATTTCATTTTAAGAAGTACTTTACCTGCATCGTCGCATTTGCCAAACAATCTTTGAATATTCTCTAATTCAACTACAATATTCAACTTAGAAGAAGTATCATTTGATGGAACCATAATATCTAATTTTCTCCAATGATGGTAAACAGCTGACAAAGGAATTGGGCGACCTGTAACTATATATTCTGAAATCTCACGTGCACAGAGCAAACCATGTGTGGATCTAAGAGTGCAATGACAAGAAAATTTTGTCCAAACCAATATGTTCTGCTGGAGTTGACTGTCTTGATATAAGATCCATTGCATTCTTAGACACAAAACCACGTAACTCCTTAAAAAGGCTACGTTTGAAGTTATATTGAACAAAATTCATGCTTTCTTCAAACGAAGCTTTTATTTCACTGAATTACAATTCCAATAGGTGATGCATAACTTTCCATGAAGCTTCAAAATTGCCTTGTGATGATCCAAGGTGTTTCTTCAACTTAGAATGTGCACTCTCAAACCCGTGAATAATATAAATATATTTTATTTAATTACATAAATCGACAATAATTTGTTTGTCGATTAAAAAACAAATGTTGATAATAAAATTAAATATAAGCATTATACATTTTACCTGTTTGTTGTGACATTACCGAAGTACATAATTTTATTCGTCCAAGCAGCAATAAATTTCTCTTTATATTTACTCAACCAAGATCATATAACATAATCCAATGCCTTCGGAAATTGTTTAAATTAGAAAGATAAAGTTTTGGCCAATTGTTCATATATCTCCTTCGTAGTAGATGCAACAAGTATGCTCCAAATCCTACAGAAAGTATCCCATTTTTCTTTTCGCTCAAAAAACTTTTTTGTATTGGCCGATACATTTTTCGATATGTGCCATGTGCATAGTAGCTTTTTGGCATTAGGAAAAATTTGTTCAACTATCTGAATAAGAGCCAATTCCCTATCTATGACAATAACATGCGGCAAGACATCATGATTTGTTAATGTTTTCAACTTTTTAATTGCCCAACTATAATTTGTTTTATGTTTAGCTTCCATGAACGCCAAAGCCACAGAAAATGTCATTTGGGTCGAAGTAACCCCTACAATCTCAAAAAGAGGGCATCAATCACTATTAGTTTTGTAAGTACAATCCA